TGGCTCTTTTAGGACTTGAGTGACTCTGAGATTATGGGGCTCTTTTGCCCCTGTGTTCCTGCATTTGCCCACATGGCCCATGGCCATGTGAACCCCACACACAATGGACGAATGGACCGTATCTAGCCCGATGCTGAACGGGAACCAGCTCCAACATGGAAAGGAAACTCTGGACACTGGCTTTGTTTCTAGCTTTACTAAACCTCAGCAACACTTCTTCTATGACTGGACTAGGGAAATCGGACTTTGGAAACCATGGTGTAATTCCAGGGAAATAAAGCTTTGTACTATATCTCGGGGACCGCTGGAAATGCTTATTCTAGCGGTACCCCAAGAACTCCACTTCCACTAGCAATGGGGGAAGACGAGACTTTTTTTCCCCAATAACAGTTGTATCATTTCACCAATTGAAAGAATTTCTGCTTTTTCTGATTGCACAAATGCAATCAAGTAGTCACTGTGGGAAGCAGTGAAGAAGCGGTGGAATGAAAGTGTGTAGGATGGGGAAAGGAAGGGAGATCACTCTGAAAACGAGAAAAAAAATACTTTCTAATTTAACAGAGCATGTATCTTCTTGAGCATTAATGTGAACATGTACGAAACTTCATGCAACAGGTTGTCCTTAGAAGTTCTTCCTTTAACTTCTGGTTCATCTTTTTACATCGCAAAAGGGCTGTTTCCACTGCTGAGCAGTATTTTTTTCAGTTGGGTTTTTGTTTTGTTTTATGCTGTCTAATCACCTACTGCCTGACCAATAAGCTGGACAGGTATGACTCAGTTGATCTTTTCATCGCTTTGTTCTTTTTTCTCTCTTCATTTTCTTTTTGTTTCTAAAATATTTTTTATCAATTTTTATTTTTTTTAAAAAATATATTTTAATTGACTTCAGAGAGGAAGGAAGAGAGGGAGAGAGAGAAACATCGATGATGAGAGAGAATCACTGATAGGCTGCTTCCTGCGCATCCCCATCTGGGGGACTGAGCCCGCAAACCCAGGCGTGTGCCCAGCCAGACAGACAGGGAATCGAACATTGACCTCCTGTTTCATAGGTCCACATTCAATCACTGAGCAACACCGGCCAGGATTTATTTTTATTTTTTTTTAGAGAGAGGAAGGGAGAGTGAAAAAGAGAAACATGATGTTCTACTCTCACATCTATCTGCTGCCTCCTGCACGCACCCTGGGTGTGTGTGTGTGTGTGTGTGGAGGGGGTGAGGGGTTCAAAGGGGGAATTGAGCTTGAAATCCTGGCAGGTAATCTGACTGGGAAGTCAACCAGCAACCTTTTGGCGCAGGGGGAGGACATCCAACCAATGGATCCACACCTGCCAGGGTTAATCGCTTTATCCCTGAAAAGATGTTCTGAACTTCCTTTATATTGTCGGTAAATTCTGGCAGGTGTATCTGTTTTGCTGAAGATTACGGCCTATAATTCTCAAAGATGTTCCAACGGGTATGACTCCAGAGAATTCAGGGCCCACGGCATTAACAGAAGCTCTCTGCAGCCACGTGTACCAGCTCCGCGCTGGCTTCCCGCTGGGCTCAGAGCCGGGCGCGTCCCGCAGTCTGTCCTCCGCGCAGTCCTCCGAGGCGCAGCTTCCAGCAGGGGTCGCTGCGCCGCCGCCGCGCCCGTGCGTCCGGCCCGGCCCGTTCTCGCCGCGCCTGCGCCGACGGAAGGGGCGGGGCACGGGCAGGGCGGTGCCTGGAGGCCGGAGGTCGGCCCGGCTGCGGGGGGGAGGGGGGAGCGGCTCTGACGTACAGGTAACTGCGTCCCTGCCGGGTGCGTGGCGCCCCCGGCCCGTGACCCCTCTCTGTTGCTTCACCGCGCGCACCGGTGAATAGGGGCTCGGCGCGCGCCGCCGCCCCGCCCGCGCCGCTGCCGCATCTCCGCGTGAGTCTCCCGCTTCGTGGCCCGGCCCGCCTCGCCTCCCCTCGTGACGCCCCGGGGGCCCGGGGGCTGAACGGGCCGTGGGAACCCGGCGGGCCGAGACTGTCCGCCCCCACGCTCGGCACCTACTGCTGTCTCCCGGCGCAGACCGGGAGCTCGCGGCCGCTCGTGTTCCGTTCCCCTTGACCTTGAGGAGCGGGAAGGTGCGCAGCCCGCGGGCGCGGGGAGGGAGCGAGGAGAGCCCGGCCTCGCCCCTGCAGCCAGCCCGGTCGCCTCTGGTCTCCGGGGGAAGGGAGGCTTTCTAATTGCAGTAAACCTGCAGCAGGGAGACCGGGTCCTCCTGATGGAGTAGCGAGCAGGCTCGGGCACTGCACCGACCCCGCAGCTCCCGGACCGCGTGGCCTCTGCAGCCTTCGGTTCGTCCACAGGTTTTATCTCTCTCCGGAAATCTCGCCCGAAACCGCCGTGGGGCTCACTGCCTCGAGCACCCCTGTGCGCAGTCACGGTGTCGCCAAGGAAATATTTTAAAATACTCTCCTCCCGGGTCGCTTACCTCCTTGGGACCTTTTATGGTTCCCATGCCCTCTGGGTCAAGTCCAAGGAGATCTAAGATAGGCGAGGCCTTTGGAGACTAGCTTCTTGCCCATCTTCTTTGTGCTCTTTCGGACTCCAATGTTCCAGCCCTGATCTCCCTTCATTCCACAGTCATTAAGCACTTACCACGTGCCGGGTACTATCCTGGGCGCTTAGATTGAGCCGAGGAAAGGGCACAGGTGAAGATCCCTGCCCTTGCGGAGTGTTTATCCTAGCAGGGAAGACAGGCAAAAAATAAACATTAAAAAGCCACCAGTAAGTTAGATCGTGATAGCAGGTGATCAGTGCTATGGGGCAGGAAACGAGGGCAGAGTCAGGGGACATCGGGAGGGGGAGATGCCTGTTAAGTAGAGTCAGAATGAGTGGACCTCCTTGAAGTGAGGATGCGCTGTCCGTGGGGACATCTGGGGCGAGAGTGTTCCAGGTGCAGCTGGCACAAAGGACTCTCCCCAGCAATGTGCCTGTTGTGTATGAGGAGCATCAGGGAGGCCTGTGTGGCCGGAGCTGAGTGAGCAAGGGCCAGAGTGGCAGGACATGAGGTCAGAGAGGAAACGGAGGGGCCAGATCCCAGGAAGCCTTTAGGCCAGTGGCTCTCAACCTTCCTAATGCCTCGATCCTTTAATACAGTTCCTCATGTTGTGGTGACCCCCAACTATGAAATGATTTTCGTTGCTACTTCATCACTGTAATTTTGCTTCTGTTATGAACCGTAATGTAAATATCTGATTTGCAGGATGTATTTAGGCGACCCCTGTGAAAGGGCCGTTCGACCCCCAAAGGGGTCGCGACCCACAGGTTGAGGACCGCTGCTTTAGGCCATGGTAGGGATTTTGCTTTTCTCGGTGCTTGCGTAGGGTTTTGAGGAAAGTAGTGACATGGTGTAAATTACTTTTTAAAAGAATCACTGACCACTGTGGAGAACAGGCTCTCACAGAGCCTTCGTGGGTAACCTGGTGAGAGAGGAGGTGGCCTGAACCTGTGGTGGCAGAGGAAATGGTGAGCTATGGAACTTGGTGTCCTGACATCATGCATATGGGCCTGAGGGAAAGGGAAGAGTCGAGAATGACCGGAAGCTTTCGTTCTTAGCAACTAGAAGGGTGGAGTTATCACTGACAGGTGGGGAAGGCTGCAGCTGAAGCAGATTGGGAATTGGGGATATATCAGGAGTTGTTTTTGGACCCGTTGTTTCCGGTGCCTGTTACACCCTTACACACTGAACGGAAGATACGGAACAAGCAATTGGATATTGTGTCGGGGGTCCCCAAGGCCGCCTCCAGGTTCATTGATTCACTGGGAAGGCTCGATAGAACTCAGCTGTGGGTCACAGCAAACGCATACAAAGCACAGCCAGCAATGGAGAGGATGCCTGAGACAGACTGGAGGAAGCCAGGGTCAGTCTTCCAAGCCAAGAGTCCTCTCCCAGTGCAGTCACGTTGGACGTGTGTAATTCTCCCAGCAACACATTGTGACAAGGTGGGAAATGTCTATCAGGAAAGCTCATTAGAGAGTCAGGGCCCCAGGTTTTTATTAGGGTTTAGTCACATAGGCACCCTCTGTCGAGAATGAACCAAAATTCCAGACTCGCAGAAGGAAAGCGGGTATTCAGCATAAATCAAGTACAGTGGGGCCTTGACTTACGAGTTTAATTCGTTCCGTGACGGAGCTCGTAACTCAAATTACTCGTATGTCAAATCAAGAAGTGAACGAGTGAGACACGTGATGCTGGGCTGATGTTGTGGCGTTCACTGTGACGTTCGCTGCGCCAACTAGAGGGCGGGTATCTGAAGCTGGCTCGTAACCCGAATTTTAGCTCGCAACTCAAAGCAAAAAATCGGCTGAGAGACGGCTCGTATCTCGAAAAACTCGTTAGTCAGGACACTCGTAAGTCAAGGCCCCACTGTAGTTTGTACAGACAGATTAGGCCCAGTGAGCCACTCCTGTCCGTTCTGTGAATGGTGAGAACCCTCCTGAAATCCAAGTTCCCGGACACCAGCCAAGGGCCACCTTGCAAGCGGGCTTTCTAAGGATAGCAGTCTCAGGCCTACTATAGTAACTGTTCTGCACAGACATACAAGTCTGGAATTTGGAAGAAAGGTCTGGAATGGTGATATAGGGAGCCATTGGCATTTACTAGTAGGTGGTACTTAAAGCCACGGAGATGCCTGGTGTCTTGATAAACATTTGCCAAAACTGATGGAGCCGGATGATGTGAGTGTAGGAGAGGATCGGAGGCTGAGCCCTAGGCCCTCCAACATTAGGATGTCAGGGAGAAGAGAAGGAAGCAGCAAAGAAGTGTCGAAAAGCAGCAGCCGGTGAGGTAGGAGGTAAGCGGAGAGTGAGGTGTCCTGAAACCAAGTGGAGAAGAAAAGAGTGGTTAGTTGTTTCAAATGCTACTGAGAAAGTAAGATAAGACGGGGGCAAACAGCTGGCCTTTTGGATTTAGAAATGAGAGGCACTGAAGAGAGCATAGACACCCTTTTGAGGAGTTTTGTTGTAGGGAGGAGCAAGAAGAGCAGCTGGGGGGTAGTGGGGTTAAGAGGTTCGTTGGTTTGTTCTGAATGAGAAATAACACCATGCTGATGAGAATGGTTCACTAGAAAGTGAAAAATCACTGTTGGAACTTTCTGTTTCCTCAAAGCTCATTCCCGACCACTTTTGCCATCAGAACTCTCCTCAGGCATCCCTGCTCTGGCTCCAGCCTGCGCAAGAACAGCCTCCTCGACCTCAGCTTTCACTCAATGTTCTCTGACACCCACATTCCACTTCAGTGGCAGCTTCTTGGCAGGACTGTGTCTTATGTAGCCCTCGCTGGCCACTTGGCATGTGAGTGGAAGTAGGAATAGGTAGGATGCTCATTTCATTTCTCGAAAGTGAATCTTCAAGTAGTCACTGGTTTTTGTGTGTGCTGAGCAGATTGGGGATGGAGTGAGAAATGGGGTACAGTTCCCGCCCTGTCACTGCCCTTAGGAGATAAGAATAGTACAAAAGACATACAGCATTGGTGCAGCGTGAATTTGGAAAGGGGCACGGTGAGTGGGGACAGGGGAGGGTGGAGGAGAGGCCTGGATTTTGGGTGGAGCCTGGAAGAAAAGAGGCCATGTTAAAAGGATAGAAACTTTTTTTCAGTAGTAGAATCCTTATTTTCAATGAAATACAACGAACCCCGGTATTCACCAGCACTGCTTGCTGTTCTGGTTGAAGAGGGGTTGGGCCTGCTTCGTTAGCCCTCTCCTCTGGCACTCCCACGTCTCTGACTAGTTTCAAAACTCTGAGGCAGAATCCAGGTTTCTTTCTTAACAACAAAAACAAAAAAAATGTTTTTATTGATATTTTTAGAGAGAGAGGAGGAAGGGAGAGGGATAGAGAGATAGAAACAGCATCGATCGGCTGCCTCCTGCATGCCCCGCACCAGGGATCGAGCCCGCAACCTGGGCAGGTGCCCTGACAGGGTCAACGTTCAACCGCTGCAAATCTGAGTTTCAAAGCTCTGGGCAGAATCAGGGGTAATGCTTGGCTTGCCATTTTGGTTATGTTTATTGTAATTACATGAGTACGATTTTAAAGTTATTTTGTGCTAGTAAAAGTTTCCTAGTGTAGGTAACTATTAACTGTGATGTATGCAGAGAGCACCATCATACCTGGCATTCCTCACAGAGACAGCAGTGTGGTGTAACGGCAGGACTCTGGGATCGGGTGTGTGGGAGTCCAGGGACTGACCCAGAGAGGACTTCCCTCCCCAGGAATGTCTCCTCTTAGATTTCACCTACACGAGGACGACACTTCCAATCCACTATTCCCGAACTCTTCATTCTCTCTAGTATTACAGTCGGTGAAGGCTAGCTTTTGTCCAAAGAAAATGAGAAATGTCATGGTGTAGCACAGTGGTTCCCAACGTGGGGCACATGCCCCACAGGGGGGCAATTTGGTTTTTAAGGGGGTAATTCAAGAATGAGTTATTAACAGTGAATTTTTTGCATTTCTTATGGTTCTAGGGGCCTTATATACAGTATATAAATATATATTGTGACATACGCATTTCAGTTCTCATATGTTTTGAAACTTTGCTATTTTTTCATATCACTTCATATTATTATTTTTTTAAACAATTTCTTTTTTTTTTTTTTAATTTTTTTTTTTTAAATATATTTTATTGATTTTTCACAGACAGGAAGGGAGAGAGATAGAAAGTTAGAAACATCGATGAGAGAGAAACATCGATCAGCTGCCTCCTGCACATCTCCTACTGGGGATGTGCCCGCAACCCAGGTACATGCCCTTGACCGGAATCGAACCTGGGACCCTTCAGTCCGCAGGCCGACGCTCTATCCACTGAGCCAAACCGGTTTCGGCTTAAACAATTTCTTAGTGACTTCTTCCTCAGTACTTCAACTGTCCTTTTGTTCTTTTTTTTTCTCTTTCATGGCTGCCATGTTCTTTGGAAGCTTGTGAGACCTAGTTAATGGCCTTTTAGACTTCCTCCACGTGAATAGGAGTTCACTTTTTGAATAACAAGAATTATATGGCACGGGGTTGGGGGGAGGTATCAGAATTTTAGAGGTGCTTAGGTGGGGCATGGCCAAAAAAAAGGTTGGGAACCACTGGTGTAGCAGAAAGAGCACTGGATTTGGAGTCAGAAGATTGGTGGGCGATTCAGCATGGTAGCGAAGAGCCTGGATTAGGAGCCAGGGAGCCTGGCTTTGAGTCCACTTAGTGTCTGTGTGACCATGTAACTTAGATGGGCTTGTTGGAAGGAATAAATGAATTCATGTGTAGAGCAATGCCTGACCCATAGTAATTAGTGAGTGTTAAGACTTGTCATTGAAATCCTGGCTATCTCACTTGCTAGCTGTATGACTTAGCAACGTGTTAAATTGGTCCAATTTTAGTTTGTATTCTTTTGTAAAATGAGGAGCTTGCACAGAGTTATCCCTGAGAGGCTGCCTTTGCTGTCTCTGCAGACAGGAACAGCTCTGGGAGTGTTGTTAATTGGGATGGAACATGAAGCCAGGCCTGAGCTCCAAGGCATACATACGGCCTTTGGCATTATACCTGACAGCAAAAAAATAATTTGCTGAAGTCACTTAGACCAGTGTTTTCAAACTTTTTGTTTATTGGGATCCACAGTAAATGCATTTTACATGATGACCCAGTGTGTGTGTGTGTGTGTGTGTGTGTGTGTGTGTGTGTGTGTGTGTGTGTGTGTATACATACATTTTTGCATATGTGAGTAAATGTAACAAAAGTTTCATGAAGCACTATTAGCAGTATTTACTCTTGCTATATGTGATGCACTGTAATATTTTCTATACCCTTCAGTTGTAGCTCTTAAAAAGTAGACATTTTCATAATGGTTCATGACCCACAGTTTAAAAAACACTCACTTAAAGATGGGCAAATCATTATTATTAATGTCAGTCTTCATCTTTTCCATTACATAAGCATCTTACAAACCAGTCTAGTCTAGGCCCAACAGCAGGGGGTGATTTCAACCAAGACTGTCTTAGCCCATAACTTAGACATCACCTGGATAAATTCTAATGAGTCTAGAACTTAAGCCCAACACAGAATTCCTGAGGCTGATGATGGAGAGCTCTGGCTACTTATGGTGAACCTTCCTGTTTTGGCTGAGTGGTTAGGTATGAGAGGACCTGCTAGTAAGGGAATTATTTTTCTTAAAATTTTACACTGTGAAGAATATATACCAAAAATGTGAACAGTAGTATCATAGAGGAGATGATTGGTAATTTGACTTTTTTAAAAAATTTTTCAAAATTTCTTTTTTTCAAATTTTACTTATTTATTTATTTTTAGAATGAGAGAGGAAGGGAGAAAGGAGGAGAGAGGGAGAGAGAAACATCAACCTGTTGTTCCACTCATTTATGCATTCATTGTTTGCCTCTTGTATGTTCCCTGAAAGGGGATTGAACCCGAAACCTTGGCATATCGGTATGATGCTCCAATCAACTGAGCTACCCAGCCAGGGTTCAGATTTTCTGCCATGAAAATATATTTCATATATAATCATTGAAATCTCTTTTAAAAATTACATTACTACTAAAAATTCCTTCTTGGCAAAATAAAGGGTAAAAAATACTTTACTTGGCAAAATAAAAAGTAGTTCATCATTAGGTAACTTTAAAAAAAATTAATTGTAGTGGGCCATAAACTATTTTCTTTATCACTGCTGATGTAAAATTTAAAGTTCTTTCTATAAATGATTATCATCTGTTCTGTATTAGATTAGGTAGACCATGTGTATAAATATCAGTATTTCTCTTTAAGGTGCTTCAAGTAATTTCTAGTCAGTATTTTAGAGTACTCTAGGGATTTTGTAGCATTTAAAAATCATTTCAAATTATAGTTGTGTTGAAAAACAGCCCTCAAATTGAGCCTGCTTTATTTCTCATTTACAGCTCACATTGGGGTCCCAAGAGCACTAAAATATAGAGTTGAGCTTCTGTAGTCTGCCTCATTCATGCCAACAAAAATAAGGCCCAAAATGTTAACAAATATAATTTAGAAGTAGCTAGCTATGAGCTGTTGAGTGAGCTTACAGGTAATTGCTGTTGTCAGCTTTGTGATGAATGGAGAGTAAGAAGGAGAAGTCGTGCGAATCATTACCAGATCAGTCTGAAAGGATAGCCTTGGCGCAAAGTCACTTGCAGACTTGAAGTACGCGGGTACTGACCACATGGCAACCCTTCTCGCATTACTATTCATGGTGTTAAAACCATCTTGATGGACATGGGAACAGTCTGCCACCGTCATAATAATATAGTTTCTACTGCCGTTGAGGTACTGTAGGTATTGGTTGCTCTCTGGCATGTCAGCACCTCCGTGCCTCAGGAGACAATTATCTAGCTTGTGGTCTCCAAGCCTCTTTTCTTTGCTAGCTAATGCCTCTGCAAACAGTGGGAAGATGTCAAAGGTAAAAGGTGGTAAAATGCACACCTGTCCAGTTGGTTCATTCCTAGCTCTGCTTTGCTGGGGTTGAAGGCTGAAATAAAGTTTAGAGATTCACTCTGGGTTTTAGGAAGACATGATCTGGTGTCCTTCCTTGGCAAAGTCAATAGTGTAAGGATGTACTGTATGTCAGTAAATAGTCTTTCTCTCCATGAGATTTTTCTTTAAAAAAAAATTGAGAACTATTGTTAATATTTTTCAGTAGCAGTCAGTACCAAGCTAATTCAGGGGTTGGAAAGAGTAGAACCAGTGTTTGCACAGATATTAGTATCTAGTATGACCCTTCTGGCCACCCTATAAGGCAGTGATGGCGAACCTTTTGAGCTCGGCGTGTCAGCATTTTGAAAAACCCTAACTTAACTCTGGTGCCGTTTCACATATAGAAATTTTTTGATATTTGCAACCATAGTAAAGCAAAGACTTATATTTTTGATATTTATTTTATATATTTAAATGCCATTTAACAAAGAAAAATCAACCAAAAAAATGAGTTTGCGTGTCACCTCTGACACGCGTGTCATAGGTTCGCCATCACTGCTATAAGGTAAGCACATTAATTGCAGCTTGAAGACTCACCATGGCACACTGCATGGCCCTTCGTACATGCAAACCGACACTGCCTTTTGTAGGGAGCTTCAGTACCATAGAGGTATAAAGCGTTCGTGGTGTGTGTGTGGTTTGTGCGGTAAGAATGCCAGGACACTGCACTTGTGAAGTAAAACTGTGTCATTGTCTGTTGCAGGTTATATGCACCATGGCTATGACTAGTGTCAGATTGCCCACCAGTATTTTAAGAAAGCCAGATGCCTGGATTGGACTCTGGGGAGCGCTACGAGGGACACCTTCACACAAACTCTGTGCTTCCTGGAATCGGTACTTCTGTTTTTCTAGTACCAAATTAAATGCACCAAGTTATAAAACACTTTTCCATAACATTTTCTCACTGAGACTCCCAGGACTTTTAATAGCTCCAGAATATATTTTCCCGTTTTCTATAAGACTCAAAAGTAATATAAGCTCTAAAAAATCCACTAAAAAGACTCTGCAGAAAGTTGAAGCTGAAGAGGACTCTGATGAAGAGAGCGATCATGAAGTGAGTGAGCAAGAAGAGGAGCTGGAGGATGACCCCAGTGTGGTCAAAGACTATAAAGACCTGGAGAAAGTAGTGCAGTCTTTTCGGTATGATATTATCCTGAAGACAGGCCTAGATATTGGCAGAAAGTAAGTATGATGTGCATTTCATTACAAAATCACTTGTCTTCTTGTTGGTTATTTTAACGTAGCATTATCAGTATTGTGGTGAAGAGTAACCATAGATATGAAAAGACCTTAGAGGAAACCTCTTTCATTTCTGTAGACAAAAAAATTGATTCCCAAAGAAGTCAAGTGACTGCAAATCCCACGTGCCATATTTCCTTGTTTCTAAATCTCCCATAAGATTTTAAGATGAACCATTAATAACATCTTTGAGGAGAAAAGGAATCACTGTGTTAGATGTATATTGAAAAAAAAAAAGTATATCGTAAGCATAAATGCATGTGGGTTTTACAAATACTGCAGCGTGAAAAAATGCCTTTTAGAATCAACTAAAGCAGTATAATGTGGTTAAGAATGCAGGCTCTGGCCCGGCTGGTGTGGCTCAGTGGTTGAGTGTTGACCTATGAGCCAGGAGGTCACGGTTCGATTCCTGGTCAGCGCACATGCCTGGATTTCAGGCTCGATCCCCAGTGTAGGGTGTGTAGGGGGCAGCCGATCAATGATTCTTATCATTGATGTTTCTATCTCTCTCCCCCTCTCCCTCCCTCTCTGAAATTAATAAAAATATATTTAAGGGAAAAAAAATGCAGGCTCTGGCCCTGGCCAGTTTTCTCAGTGGTTAGAGCATTGGCCTGTGGACTGACTGAAGCGTCTCAGGTTTGATTCCCAGTCAAGGGCACATACCTCGGTTGCAGGTTCCCCAGCCCCATTAGGGGCGAGTACGGGAGGCATTCAATTGATGTGTGTCACATTGTGTTTCTCCTTCCCCTCCCTCCCTTTCACTCTCTAAAAATCAATGGAAAAAATATCCTTGGGTGAGGATTAAAAAAGAAAGAAAAGAATGCAGGCTCTGCAGCCAGACCACTAATGTCTGAATCCTGATTCTGTGTATGACCTTGGGCATAAATTCTCTGTGCTTCAGTTTCCTTATCTGTGAAATGAGGATAATGGAACCTGCTCTAGAAGGCAGTGGTAGGATTAAATGAGTGTTTCTCTATGTATCTAAAGCACTTATAGCAGTGCCTGGCACATAGTAAGTACTCAGTATGTTACCCGTGATGACGAAAATACTGTGTGTTCATATATAGTGCACAGAGATAGTAAGTATAACTTTCAAGATTTCTTTAATCTCATTCTCTCTTAGACTATAATTATATAAGAATAGTGACCCCCATTATTCATTCATTCCTGTAATAATCATTGTGTGCATAGGTAAGAATTGCGGTATGAATGATAAATTCAGAAAGATTTCCTTACGTAATTTGTACCTTTATGACCTAACTTAATGGCATAGTTCAGTTTTTTCAATCTATGGAGCATAAGGACTCATAAAGGTGACTCAGCCCATAGGCAACCTGATTAGGATTTGTTGAATGTTCTCTAAAATCTGACAGACTCATAAGGGGTCCTCTCCTCTCCCAGGGTAGTAGCTGCTGCTGCTGTAATTAAGCAGAACCCCAGATGTCAGTCACTTGGAATCAGAGCTTCAGGAAGAAAGGGCATTGATTTTTGTCTGCATCCTTCCCTGGTCTAGTTGCCCCAGTGATTAAATTCAGACAGATCAGCAGCTGCTGGATTGGAGTTTCCCCAGTCTCAGTGCAGACCAGTGAGGGTTTCTTAATGGCCTCAGCAGACGTGTGGTGCCTGGTTTTTCAGGCAGAGCACAGAGCAGGTATGTGAGGGGGAGCGCGTGCTCATTACTTAGTTGAGAATCACAGGCGCTGCCACCTTGAAGGGAGTTGCTGCACAGAGAGTCAGGTGGAGAACCTGGGCCCCCTTCCAAGAGGGCTGGTGCAGGTACCTTGGAAAGCCCCATCAAGGTACTGATTACCTGCCTGATGGTACTAGCAAATCTTTGCAGCAGGTCAGCGTCTACTTAGAAGTACCCTTTGGTCTCCCTGTTTTAGATACATAGGGAGCAGTTGCCTTTCACTTTCCCAGCACCCAGGCTGAAGATTTTGTGGGGAGGTACACGTCACTGTCAGAATAAGCATTAATGGCAGGTGTGTTTCTCAAACTTGTGTAATGGTTCTGAAATATATTTCTATTTTAAAGCACTTTGACTTTTTTTTTTAAGCAAAGTGGAAGATGCATTCTACAAAGGTGAACTCAGGCTGAACGGGGAAAAATTATGGAAGAAGAGCAGAACGGTGAGATAATAAGACAGCCAGATGTTTTTGTCTGTTGCTTTACAAGTACTCAGTTAATGCCCCTACCTTCCCCTCGGGCTCCTTACTTGGGGCATCCTTATGTCTGTCTTACCATTTCTCAGGTCTCCCTAGTCCTGGTCACGCTAGTGAGAATGAATCACCAGCTGGCTTCAGTCACACAGATCACTTGCTCTTTTGCAGCCATAATGACTTTGAGGTGAAGCTCCCCCCCCCCTTTTTTTTTTCTTTAAAATTTCAAGATGACAATCAGAACTGGCAAAAATCTATTATTTAAACTTCTCAGTCATAATATCCAGGCTAAAAAGAAACATTTGATCTATGGAGAGGTTTTTTGGCCCGCTGTTACCTGAGCAGATGTGTAATTATGTGCGGGCGGAGGACACCCCTCCCCCCAGCACCTGCTGGGTACCCTGCTCTGTGCAGGCGCTGTCACACAGGAGGGGTCATGTTCTCTTGACAGCTCCACATCAACACTACTGTAAGCAAAAGAAGTCACTTAGAAAATTTATTTCCAGTATCCAGTGTTACAGTAAATCATATTTGTTAATTCTGTTAAATATATGTATTTTTTAAAAGTAAATTACATAAATATATGCATCTAGAATTAAATTATTAATATTACTAGTATTCTTTGGGTGGGGCATTATGGGTTATATTTTCTTCATGCTTCTTATTTTCTGGATTTCTTACAAATATGTGTCCCTTTCATAATTGGAAAATACAATAATGAAGGTAAAAGTTAATAAAACAAAAATATGAATGACAAAGACCCTTAAAAAGTTAGGAAGACAGACCTCTGAGGCATTGGCAGACATAATCTACCTCCTAGAGTCCAGGGAACCAGTGTTCCGGGCAAGTTAGACACACTTTTGGACGTTTTTATTTTAGCTTCTCTCATATTTCAAAACATCCCAGAGGTTAGAGGCCCTAAGCTGTCTCCTGTTGCCCTGGGACCTGGGAGGGTGTGAGCCGATGGCCATGGACCTGGGTGAGTGCTGCAGCTTTCTTCAGAGTCCTTTCAGGATCATCGTGGACAGGATAAGGGGACTCCTCAGCGCTGGGTCAGCCGCCAAGTCACAAGGCCCACTCTCCCTCTGATGGCACCTGACTTGCTGACTGGGTGTCAGTCATTGCTCTGTGAGCCACAGGAAATCAGGCACTACGGCCACGCTTCTGGAGACAGGGGCCTTCTCCACCCTTACTGCTTTTTCGGGGTTGTAGTCCAGCCCCTCTCACCAGCTGCCGCGTTCCAAAGGCAGGACCCCTTGGTGCAAGGTGTGCCTGTGCTGGGGTCTCATTTACAAACGCCACAGGCCTATTATTCTCCCTCTGCTACGAGATATTGTTAACTACAGCCTAATTGCTGCTGCTTTATTCTGCCTTGGGTGTTCTGTTATCTCGGCTGCCTTCCAGATTTCTCCTGAGGGTCAGCAAAGGAAGGGGCCAGTATTAACATTCTGCTGCCTGTTACTAGGAGACCTGGTAGCCATAGTAACTGCAGCTAAGGGGAGATTTGAAATGTAGATATTTGGAACTGTCCCTAATCCCAGTTTGCTTTGTGTCTGCTGTGCCGTCTCCCACATTAGGAAGGACAGGGCCTTGCAAGGAATAAAGAGCACCTCCTCGTGCATGGCCTGCTCCATGGGGCCCGTGCCTGGCTGCTGGCCTGAAAGATCAGGCGCTTGCCTGATGCTGCAGCTGTAACCCTGGCTGCCTACAGCGGGGCAGAGCTGTGAGCTGCAAACCAGTTGGGACCCAGAGGGCTGTAGGTGCTGGGTAACTGGTGCTTCAGACAGGAGAGTGCAGTGAATCCAGTTGTGGGGACTGAAGCCTTCCTGAGTTCTCTTTCTGGGATGGGGCGGAGAACGGTTCCTTCCCGCTTTTCAGGTACATGTGAGCCTGCCCTTCCCTTACAGTATGTCTATGAGAAGGTACACAAGAAGGCATGCCCTTCCCCTATGTCCTTTTAAATTTCATGTCATGTGCATACATTACTTAATTAAAATGAGTTTTAATGAAACACATTCCCAAGCCTTGTATTTTTGGACGTTAATTTTAAGTGTCCACACAGTTGGAGCTGTGTGGTTATTATTATTATTTTTTAACTGAACCCAGCAGAACTACAGGAGGATCCCCCCACCCCAGGTGATTCCTAGGTCAGTCCATCCTTCAAACCTAGGGGAGAAGCAGTCTTCATGCCTGGCTGTGGTGTGAGCCTTTCTGGTCTCAGCCCAAAGGGGAGAGAGTTAATGGTCTAAAACAGGCCCCTGTGTGGGTTTTTCACCCGCCTGCTCTGGGCTGTCTGGATTGACCAGTGTGGCATCATGGTGAGCAGGTGTGCAGTCCCATGTTGTAGACTGAGTATTGTGCCTACAAAAGCCTTGTGTGGGTGGGAGAACAGATGTTCTGAAAGCATGAAATTATGACTGCCTCAGAGAGCAGTCATTGGAAAATAAGGTAAAAGTCGGCATCTGGCACCATGCCTCTTAACCAGAAGCCTTCTAGTGGGATTTTAAGAAGAAGGTGAGCAGTCTGAGATGGCCCTGGTCATCCCTGCTTGTGTTCTAGTGGAAGAAGCACATGGCATGTGGGGTAGTTTAGCCCCTTCCTTGGTTGCTGGGCAGATCCCCTGGGATCCGGCATTGCTACGACCAGGGGTCCATCCTGGGCTCTCAGCACCCTGGCAACAGTGACTGAATGCCCTAGGCATGCCCTGTACTAGCTCAACCCAAAGCTCCATCTGGGCAGGAATGGGTTTGACCTCAGCCCTTTGAACCTACTGAATCAGCATCCAGCTTGACCCTCTTTTCTGTGGCATTCATCTTTGTGAGTCCTGTCTCTCTTTTTTTAAGTATAGTTGGTATATAATATTATATTAATTATATTAGTTTTAGGTGTACAATGTAGTGATTTGACATCTTTATACCTTAAAGTGTGATCACTTCATTAATTTTAGTAATCACCTATCACCATGCCAGTTTATCACAATATTATTAACCGTATTCCCCTTCACCTTTTTCACCTGTCCACATCCCCTGCGCTCCCCCCCTCCCCCTCACCTCTGGTAACCATCCCTTTGGTCTGTTTCTTGTTTCTCTTGATGATGTGGCATCACTGGGGCTAGTCAGTGCGAGAAAAGCAGATACAGCTTTTTCCATTTTTCCAAGAGGTACAGCTGAGCACTGTTCCATAGTGACTTCCAGCAAACTGCCTAGAGCTGTGGTTCTCAACCTTGGCTGCACATTAGAATCACCTGGGATTCTTTTTTAAATCCTGATTTCTGGGCCTCATCCTCCGGAAATTCTGTTTCTTTGTTATGGGGTGGGGCCACAACATTAGTAACAAAGAAACAGAATTTCTGGAGGATGAGGCCCAGAAATCAGGATTTTAAAAAGAATCCCAGGTGATTCTAATGTGCAGCCAAGGTTGAGAACCACTGGTCTGAAGCATGATCATGTAGCGCATCTGGACTGAAATCAGTGAAAAGTGTTACACTGGAAATTGTCTTCTCAATGCATGTAGTAATTACTATGCACATAATCTCTAAGACTGTGCCCCGCTTTTTGTCTTTTGCCATTGTTATCAAAATAAGTGCCTCCATGCAGATGTGTCTTTAAATCATCCAATAGAGGTATTTGAGTCACACCACATAGGGACTGCCACAAGCTGCCAGTTGTCTAGGTCTGAAGGCAGGACACTGACTGGTATTGAGGTGCACGTGTTGGAGGCAGGCAGCTGAGTGTGGCCCTAGGAACCAAGTGACTGTTACAGAGGAGTCAGGACCTTTCCTCACCTGCCCCTGGGTGATGATCACCTGGTGAAAACTCAGAGCAGAGATGTTTGCATTGGCCTGCATTTCCCAAGATGTAATAAAGGTTCTGTTGTCTCTTAAATTTCAGGTGAAAGTGGGAGATACGTTGGATATTCTAATTGGAGAAGATAAGGAAACAGAAACAGAGGTAGTGATGCGGATTCTCCTGAAAAAAGTGTTTGAAGAGAAGACTGAAAATGAAAAATACAGAGTGGTCTTACGACGGTGGAAAAAGTTAAAATTGCCTAAAAAGAGTGTGATGAAATAAATGGATTGCTTTTTAACAATAAAGCGTTTTCTACTGGTCGGGGAAGGAGCGAGCTCAGAAAGCAGGCATTTTTATTCAGATAAAGTTCTCACCATTTGTGGAATCTGCTGAACCATGTTGGAGCAATCAGGATCCATATCTTGGAGTCTACCCAGCCTGGATTTCTGTCCTGGGCTTGATTTGTGCTTAATTTGACTCGGGAGCATGAGTGAAATGTATGCAGGAGGAGCTAAGCCCGGAGAGGTTTTAATGACTAGCCTGCTGTTTCCCACGTTCACTACCTGGGAGGCGGGGTAACATAAACCGGCTTTGTTAGTGTTTTCATTTCGATTTTAACCCTGACGGCCAGCTTCCCTGAGTCCAGGCTTCTGAAGGCAAAGCCAGGCCCAGTGAAGGTCACCCTTCGTAGCCTTAGGGGAGCATTGGGAGACCTCATTCTCCTCAGGCCTTTTTGAATTGCCAACATGTTGGCTTTAGTTCCCTCTTCAATTTATCTTCAGAAGTCTGGATGAGTAAAATTCCAATAAATGCCAAATAGGCTAGTTAGGGCCCATTTAAAATTAATTGTTTAGGGCAGGGGTTAATAAACTAAGGCAGCCAGAGGCCTTTTGCCTGGCAGTCAATTTTTTTACATTTTCAATGGGTTGTTTAAAAAATACAAAGGATGCCCTAGCCATTTTGGCTCACTCGGCCTGAGAACTGAAGGGTCCCAGGTTCAATTCCAGTGAATGGCACATACCTCGGTTGCATACTGAATCCCCAGCCCTGGTTGGGGTGCCTACATGCAGGAGGCAACCAATCCATGTATTTCTCTCACATTGATGTTTCTCTCTCCCTCGCTTTCTCTTTCCACTCTCTAAAAAAAAAAAAAAAAAAATCAGTGGAGAGGATTAACAAAAACAATATAAAGTGAAAAATTTCTGTAAAGACAAAACAAAGGGATATATGACAGAGACCTTTTGTGGTCCACAAAGCCTAAAATATTTGCTGTCTGAGCCTTTAGAGAAAAAATGTAGTGACCCCAGGTGGAGGGCCGGCAATAAGCTGAGAGGCTAATTTTCAGGTGAAAGTAGAAAATACACAGATTTGATCAATGAAGAGAATAAAGAATCAGACTGTTCTAATTCTCGAGTGTTATAAAAGGGGCACACAAATATACATCATCTAAGGCAGCGGTTCTCAACCTGTGGGTCGTGACCCCTTTGGCGATCCAACGACCCTTTCACAGGGGTCGCCTAAGACCATCCTGCATATCAGATATTTACATGACGATTCATAACAGTAGCAACATTACAGTTATGAAGTAGCAACGAAAATAATTTTATGGTTGGGTCACAACATGAGGAACTGTATTTAAAGGGCCAGAAGGTTGAGAACCACTGATCTAAGGGCAAGGTCATTTGCATAAGTCAGCCAGCGATTCCTAGGAGCTGTTTCAGGCACTGGAAGGGTCAGCTCAAATAGATTTATTAGGTTATGTAACGTCAGAAAGACTGGCTCCAGCAATTCTTGAGAACTCAGGTTAACTGACAGCGAAGGGAAATGTCTAGCCTGGAGCAGTGGGCTATTTGGGCCCATGGACTAGCTCAGGTTTCAAAAGACCCAGGAACATCAATTTTTTAAAAATATTTTTTTGATTTCAGAGGGGGGCGGAGAGAGAAACATCAATGATGAGGATCATTGATCGGCTGCCTCCTGCACGTCCCCTACTGGGGATTGAGCCCACAGCCCAGGCATGTGCCCTTGACCAGAATCAAACCCGGAACCCTTCAGTTCGCAGGCTGACACTATCTACTGAGCCAAACCAGCTAGGGCTGAACGGCTCTTTAAAACTATTGGTCATTAGTACCTACCTTAGCTATTTGGCAGTTTGACCCATTCCAGACTTCTCTGTTTTTAAAACTCAAACTAAGAAGATATCTGACGATGGAAAAGGTTGGTTTGGTCACAGCTCGTGGCAAAAACTGATCTAAACAAAAGCATTTCATAAAGATTTGTGGACTCTTGTAACACACTCATTCCTACTTGACACAAATAACAGCTGCTTTACGTATAATGCTGTGTGGCAAAGCCTCCTCAGATAAAAGATTTGGTTATTTTTAATGCAGTGGTTCTCACCTGGGAGTGATTTTGCCACCGGGTACATTTGACAGTGTCTGGAGATATTTTTGGTTTTGGGATGGCATGGACATGGAGTGGGTAGAGAACAGTGATGCTGCTAAACATCCTATGGTGCACCGACAGCCCCCACAACAGTTATCTGAGCCAGAATGTCCAGAGTGATGAGGTTGAGACCCTCCTCTGATGGCATGACAAGGAAGAATTTTTTTAGTGGTTCTTGTTTTCCCGGAGAAGTATGGAAATGCTGCTGGTGTATGTTTGCAGTTTTTAAAGGATGAACAATTTAAAGTTACGACTTGGTATGTCGTGGCAGAATGCACGGGAGAACGATCAGCCAGCACTCTGAGGGAGGAAAGTTTAGCCTTTATTTCGCAGATCTGGTAGTCCAGGGGAATTCCGAATCCAAAGCCTGAATTCTACTCATGGGGAGGCTCTGACCTATATAGCCCCTCCTGTGGCGGCCCGAGGGTCCCCGCAGCTCCGCCCAAGTCAGTCTTGGCGAGGCCTTGGGGGCACGCTCCGCAGCTCCACCCAAGTCAACTGTGGCGGGCCCTGGGGTTAGACTCCGCAGCTCCGCCCAAGTCAGAGTGGGGAAGTAAGACTACAGTTTTAACCTGATGCTGAACTAGGTTGCAAGCCCTCCCTACCCCCCAATTTTCCTTTTCAGGTAGAGGCCTATCTAGACCTTATACCAGTAATGGTTAATCCTTTCAAAGAAATAGCTTTTTTCCTAGGAAATATGGTGCTAATTGCATTTATCAGCCAACAAAAAAGTAGACATTTGGGGAATAATTTGTGGTTTATTTGGTCAATAATGATTGGGGAGATAGAAACATAACTACCATTTTTCAAGAAACAAAGAAGAAAATAGATTTCATTTGGGGTGGTAGTGCCGGGTCCATGAGCTTTAAAGGGTGAGCCGTGTGTATCATGACTTCCACTAGAGTTCTGCCTTACCTGGGACATAGAGATGTTGGCCTTCAAACATTTACTGTTACTGACGACACTGCGGATCGCAGGGAGCAGGAAGGAAGCTGTAAACTCCATCATGCAGACTTAGGAGAGCAGCAAGAGTGCACCTCCCAGACTGTCTTTGAAAATCAGCCCTAGCAGGGTAGTCTCAGTAAACGCCATGAATCAGAGTTTATTTTCCCTTGAGAACCGACCAACATGTTAAACATTTACCAACACACCATTGGGTGGAATGGGGACGCACGCCCGCACGGTTTCCCATTAGGACAAGCCCTCGCACCAGTATTCACCAAGTTCTTTCAGGTTATTTTTTCTCCTCTGTTGGTTTCATGTATTTCACAGGTCCTCCCTGACTGTAGCCAGCTATTCTAATGGGTGTAGTGTGTATCTTTCTTGGTATGCATTCTTGTAAAATGTGTTTTGCTGTTCTCTGCACATTTAAATTTCATAAATGGCATTACTATATATTTCATTTTGAATCTTTTTTCACTCAGAATGGTTTTTAAGATCCACCGATGGCACTCACTATAGGTACATCTAATCTATTGTTTCTCTCTGCTGCATAATAAATCCCAGTGTGCATCCACATTTTGCCTACCTTTTTTTTTTTTTTTTTTTTTAAGAGAGAAGGCGGTAAGGAGAAAATGAGAGAAACATCCATTTGTTCCACTTATGTATTCATTAGTTGCTTCTTGTATGTGCCCTGAACAGGGATCAAACCTGCAACCTTGGCAGATCGAGACAATGCTCTAAACTGAGTTACCCAGTAAGGCCTTGCCTATGCTCTCTTCCAGACTCCACCAAATCCCCTCACCACAAATAACAGTGCTTGCTTCCTCTCCACAATGGCTGCACCAAGCTGCTCTCCCACCAGCAACACACAGTGCCTGCAGGCCCACAGCCTCACCCAGCCCCTGGCACGATGACCCAGCTTTTGGACTTCTGCCAGTCTAATGTAGTCTAAAGAGGTGCAGTTGTAACAGACTTCATAGGTTCTCCTTTCCTATAATGCAAGTGGAGTAGGCAGTTAAACAGCATGAGCAGAGCAGAACCGTGAGCCAGGTGCAGAGGGTCACCGGGGCGGAGAGCCCCAGGTGCCTAGCAACGCACAAAACGACAAGCCCTTGCCTGACCACTCCCTTAAGCATTAACTCCTGGAAGGTGACATCTAGGCTTCAGTTGTTTCAGCTCCAGGCCCAGAGAAGCAGCACCATATCAGGACCTGCTGCACTGACTAATGACCCCCTGGCACCAACCACTCAGTGGAGGCCCCGAGGAGACCTGGGGGAAACATGCTCTATTGAGATCTTCCCCTGAGACCTTCAGATAAAAGCTCTAAGGAGCATCCAGCCCCCTTCCCCACCCCCTCTTTCCCCAGGGCATGCTCTCTTTCCTGGAGTATGCCCTTGCGCCTCCTCAAGATGCATATCTCTCACGCTCTTTCTTCTAAGCTCCAAGGGCCCTTTTACTACTGTCACTTTCTAAATTTTCCTTTAAGTTCCTTGGCTCTGAATTCTTTCAAGCCGAACAAGGAGGTTGCTGAGCCGTCCAGCCCTAACGCATGGCTAATGCCAGGTGCCCCTTTCCCACCGCCAACACAAGCTCCCACAGCCTGCCCATCTATAGCTTGGACTTTCACAGAGGGCTCTGAGACCGCCTCTCCTGCTGCTCTCAAAGCCATGCTTGCTGGCTCTTTTATATTTTTTGTTCATTGTTATTGGTTAACGGACCAGGTATATTAAAAGGAGGATGGTGGAAGCCTACCATTCTGTCTCATCATTGATGTTTCTGCCTCTCTCTCCCTCTCCCTTCCTCTCTGAAATCAATAAAAATAATATATATTTTTAAAAAATAAAGTGGGAAATTTCTATTTAGAGGTCTGGACTGGTTATATTCGTTTTCTGGAGCCCCACTCAGAGGGATTAGATCAGGGGTCCTCAAACTTTTTAAACAGGGGGCCAGTTCACTGTCCCTCAGACCGTTGGAGGGCTGGACTAGTTTTAAAAAAAAAAACAAACTATGAACAAATTCCTATGCACACTGCACATATCTTATTTTGAAGTAAAAA